AATTCATGACCGAAACTGAAAAGGGTTATTGTTTTGGTTTTTTTTAAAGTATTTTACAGAAGCTTGTTATTGAAAACACTGCTAGAGCAAATGGTTTCATAAAATAAAATAAATACCACCTAATCCATACATTTTATTGTTAAACCTTTGTGTATTAACTTCAGGTTCCTATGAATGGATGGGGTCCCCAGAAAGAGGAAACGTACTTTGTGCTGTTGGGAATCATCTGCAAAGCCTGGCAGGGGACCCTGCATGCTTACCCTGTGCAGGGCAGACAAGAAACGTTCACTGTTTAGTAAAACACACCACGTCTGGCCTTTGCCTTCAGAAAAGGCATCAAAGTCTGAATTCTACTTTTACGTGTGGTGGGTGTTCAAACATGTAAAGCCAAACGAGTTCACTGGGAAATGAAAAGAGTATATAAAGGCTATCCACACCAGGATTACAGCCATGAAAAATCCATACAGGCGCCTCAAGAGGGCGGGAAGGGGCCATCAGGAAAGAAAACAGAGCAGCGGTGCGGAATTATGAGTCATTGTTTTATTTTACTTAATTGCTCTGGCTGTAAATTTTTCAAAACTAATATAAGCATATTTTACAGCTCACAGAACATTTAGAACATATTAAAATAAGTATCTTTCCACTGTAATGTGCCCAATTGAAATTTATGAATTCCAAAGCTACACTTGAAGGAGAAGAACTGGCACTGCACGTTCTTTAGATTAATCAGATGGATTGGGTTGTTTTTCTCCTGATGAGAAAAGAAATCATTTCTCAGTAAATGTTACCTTGAATCAAGGATTCTTCTACATTCTAGAAGCTTGGGTGAGCACAGATGTGAAGTCTTACTGTGCCCCCTAGTGGCAAAATGGATTTATGTACGCAAAACACAACTTTCCCAAGCTGTGCAATAAAACCCAGAAAATGTTTTAAAATCTTTATTGATCACTTAACATGTACAAAATTTTGTGCCAGATGCTACAGAGAATATAAAAATGGGTCTGGCAGGGTTCCCAAGCTCAAGAAGCTTAAGAATCGAGCAAGCTACTAAGGCAACCTAAGCCGCCTCTGCTGGGGAAGGGAAACAATTCCTGGAAAGAACAAGACCCCAGCACACACTGAACACAGACACCAGCCCAGCACCACCCCACAGAGTTCACACCCAAGGTGTCTACTGTGCACAGAACCCACAGGGGCACGCATATGGTGCCACTTCATGGACACACAAACTGAGGCCCAGAGAAGTGAAATGACTTGCAAGAGACCACAGCCCATGACATGGCACAGAGGATTCAAGCTCAAGTCTTGGCATCCAAGTTGCTCAATCAACTTGTCCAAAACAGATCTGCCATATAACCCAATCCCTGAAAACTGCCAGGTATCCTAAAGCACAGAGGACTCCACCTGAGGTTTGCACCCACAGCGTATGAAAGCCTTGATTTCCAAACACCCCAGGAGATATGAACCTAGCAGCCATAGTCAGCACTGACCCAACCCCAGGACTGCACATGTGCTCTGCCCCTGGGGCCACTTCCAGAGCCACCCTTGGGGCTGTACCCTGAGGGCTACAAAATAGAGTGGGTAGGGCTCCCTAGAAGCTGCCTGGTAGCCCCAGAGGCCCCATGCCAGCAATGTCATCTTCAGCACACAGCCCTCCTCTGGACAGGCGGGCACAGCAATAGCACAGTCTGCAGTGCTAAACCAACCCCAATAGTAGGGCTTCTTGCCACTTCAAGTAGGACCAACTGCGCCCTCTTCTGGTCAAAGGTGTCACTGTTGACTGGCTGCTTAGGGTTTCTGCCATCAGGTCCTCCAGGGCAGGAGCAGTCCTCCTGCATCCTCAGGGACACCAGGCCTGACATCATTCTACTCTCTAGCACCCAGATACCACTGCTCCCACTCAGAATCCCTCTGACCAAAAACTATCATGTAGATGCTTCTGTTGAGAAAACCTAAATTTCCTGGGCAAAAGCGATCCCCTGGCCAAGTTGCTCCACTCCAGACAGCACTTCAATATGCTTCCAGGTGGGGGCCAGTCCTCACTGGGCTCCGTGGCTGCCTCTCCCCATCGGGAAACAGAGTCTGGTCCCCGGCAGGTGAGCCAGGTCACACTCAATCCACCCACATCTCTTCAGGGCCAGAGCCTCATCTGAAGGCACTGTCAGTGACAGGCCTATGCTCCCAATGGCTGCCAGAATGTCCAGTCCTAGAGAAGTGACCCTCACTCCCTAGGGGGCCCACCCTTTGTGGGCCAGGAATCACACTAGGTACTGTGGGCACACAACATCAGACCTCTCTCCCACCCAGAGGCCACAGGCCTGTCCAATGTCAAAATGCCACTGGAGGGCTGGGGCTGAGGCTCAGTGGCAGAGCGCCTGCCTCACATGTGCGAGGCACTAAGTTCTATCCTCAGTACCATATGTAAATAAAATAAAGGCATTTAAAAAAAAATACTTAAAAAAAATGCTGCTGGAGATGGAGCTAGACCCTGAGCCCTGTCCACTCTAATTACAACCACACCTGCGCCCCGCAGGAATGCCTCTGTGGTGAGGGTGCAGTGGCCTCTGCAGCAAGAGATGAGGGAGAGGACCAGGGGCCTGCAACTGACACTTGCACAGAACAGGAAGGAGTCCAGACAGCAGGGGTCCACCACCAGGCCAGGGTTTGGGGGGGTGGAGCCTGGTGTGAAAACACCTCCAATGTCAGGCCCCCCAGCACAGGGCCTTGCCTACCTGGTGCCAAACCTCTCCTGCAGCTGCAGCACGGCCTCACACACAGCCACAGTTCAGCTGGCCACCCAGCAGAAATCCAGGGACCTTAGAGAGAGTGAAGAGCAGGGAAGAGGCCCCAGCAACAGGTGAGCTCAAAGACAGGAGGTACCCTGGGACTCCAGGGACAGCCAGGCACTTCCAGGGCAGAGCATACCCACCAGGGCCCCCAGAAACCCTCCCAATAGGTTCCCCTGCCCTGTTGGCCTCTATAGGAGCAGACTCTCAGGGAGGGGAGCTGAGAGACCCCAAGCTCCCAAATCAATCCAAGCACGTTAAGACCACCCAGGGCCTCCTGAGCAGCTTTCACAGACCCAGTATGGCAGGAGAAGCACCTCAGACCTCAGTGAAGAGTCCCAGACTCCAGCTGAAGACAGAGCATGAGCTCGGCTCCATTCGCTCTGGCAGAGTAGAGTCCAAATGAGTTCCTTCAGAACTTGGACCAACTGCCTAGTAACAATGCCCACAAATTCAGCTCATCCCTAAGACGCCGTTACTCTGCAGCTTCCTCTCTTTACATGAGAAAGTGTCTCCTAGGCTGGGCACACACCTGCCACCCCACTACTCAGGAAGCTGAAGCAGGAGGATCTCAAGGAAACACTCATAGGAAAACAGGTTCAAAACATAAGTTGCAGACAAAAGGACTTAGATAATCTAGTTCCAGAACTCTGAGAAAAGGAAGACGGAAACAGCAACATTCACTAACACCTTGTGGGCACCAGCTCTGCACCAAGTGCTTTTAAAAGTATTTTTCTCACAGGATCACAACACAGGCACAATTATGCCCTTCACAGGTGACACACCAGACTCAGCAGGACAGCGTGAGCTGGAGACCAGCTCCTCTGTCACAAAAATTAATTTGAAGCTAAGAACCTCCAACGGGAAAGTCATGTGATTTCCAGGTTTCAGTTCAGCTAGTTAAAAGCAGCTGGTTAAGAGGTGCTCGACAGATACTGGTATTTGCCTTCCCTTTGTCTATTCTATAAATTTGAGCTCTTCAAGCCTCTGCTTTATTTATTTTGCTAGCCATAAGTTAGCATCACAAACTGCAATTAAACACAGGGACACTGCATTTCTTGAAAACAAATGTTTAATTCCACTGATGTTTCATTCAATGGAACTTTTCTTTCTTGCGTGTACACATGTGCATGTGGTGCTAGGGATGGAACACAGGGCCTGGCATGTGCTAGGCAAGCGCCCTACCACGGAGGGGTACCCCAGCCCCCTTTTCATTTCATCTTGAGACCAGGTCTTAACAAGTTGCCTAGGCTGGCCTGGAACTTGTGCTCCGCCTTTCTCAGCTTCCCAAGTAGCTGGGATCACCGGCCTGCATCACCACGCCCAGTGTCAACAGAACATTTGTCCTACTTGTTTTTTCTCTTTTTTTGCCCCCAAAGCTAGATTATAAAAACCTGAGTGCTGGGGCTGGGGCTAGGGCTCAGTGGTAGAGTACTCACCTAGCATGTGTAAGGAACTGGGTCCGATCCTCAGCACCACATTAAAATAAAATAAAGGTACTATGTCCAACAACTAAAAAATACATTTAAAAAAAAAAAAAACCTGAGTGCTGATTATCCTCACTAGTATTCAAGGTAATGCACAAAGAAGCATCACCATATATCATCAAAACATTAACAGTGGGTGCTGGTGAGCATGGGTGAGCGGGTTCGTGCACACAGGCCACTCTTTGGAAAGGCCAGGAGCCCTACACTCCTCCCAGGAGCCATCAGAAGGAAGCACCAGGCCAGGAGGGTGAACAAAACTCATACAGCAGCACGTTACTACAGCCTAACTCAATACTAGAAACTTCCTCACTGTCTAACGATAGGGAAGGGGTTCAATAAATCATGACATAATCCAATGGTCAGATAATATAGGATCATTATGGAAAAAAACAAAGAGTGTATCTTCTGGCTCTACCATAATCTGTTGAATGCTCTGGTGGCCTGGGCAAGGGAGCATAAGGAAAAGGGCAGAGGGCAGGAGGCACCAAAGAAAATGACAGAAATCTCCAACAAGGAATATGCAGCCTGTGCCCACCACAACCTCTAACAAATAAAACACCCTGGGGGAATTTTTTGTTTCTTTGGGGTTTTTTGCCATGCTGGGCATTGTCCCCAAGGCCTTGTGCATACCAGGCAAGCACTAAGACCATTAAGCCACATCCCAGCCCACAAGTAACCCAGCAGTCTGTCCCCAAGAGTATCTGAGAGGAGCTCACTCCAGCCTTACCTTGAAGGTTTTGTCCATAGATGTGGAGAGGAGCATGTGGCTCCTGGAGGGGACAGGACACCACTGAATGCTGTTGACGGGGCCCCTGTGGCCACGCAGGTGGAAAAGCACGGTCCTGGGCACCCTGGTTTCTCTGCACTGACTGTTCAAATACGGCTGAATCAACTCGGACACTCTGGGGGTCACACAGAGAGGGGCGGGAGCACAACCTGCAGAGGGGCTCAGCAGCCCCACATCTTTCTGCTGGCCTGTTTCTGTGCTGAATGCCTGTAGCTGTCTCAGTCTCTTTGGGGTGTATGGTATGACACAGTCCTCACACCTTTTCCTCTGAAAAGAAATGGCATTTTTGCCTGTGGCTTCAGATCTGTTTGGAGAACAGAAGGATGGCTCAGGGGACTCCCAGGAGAGTCTGACTTGCTTCAAGCGGGCAGCTGCCAGGGGCATGTGGCCAGTAGGAGCACAACACGTCCACAGAGAAGAGGGGCGAGAAGGCTCACTGGTGGGGAAGGTGACTTCCGGCTCCTTTACAGGCCATTGTAGCCTCTGGCTGGGGCAAGATCCTGGATGCCTTCTCCAGAGCCGAACCAGGGGGAGACGATGCTCCCCAGGATCTYCATGAGGACCATGCTCTGTACCCTGCACCCCTTCGTTTGTCACATCCATTATACCTGATGTAAAGTCTTGCCTGGGAGACGTGGCCACACCAGAAGCATCCTTCATCTGCCCAGGAGCATTCACACTTCCAGAAGATTCAGCTTCGGCCTCTGAATCAGAGTCATCATATGCCACCAGCGAAGCCATCAAAGATTTGGTTTCTTGTCCTGCCACAGCACAATACCTAAAACCAGACCAAGTCAAGAATCAGAAAAGGGGCTGGGCATGTGGTGCMTACCTGTGATCTCAGCAGCTCAGGAGGCTGAGGCAGGACCAGACTCAGCAACTTACTGAGGCCCTGTCTCAAAATAAAAAACAAAAAAGGCTGGGGATGTGGCTCAAATCCCAGTACCAACAAAAAGAAAGAAAGAAAGAAAGAAAGAAAGACCCATGTAATTACTAAGGGCTTTTTGAAAAACTAAAAGAAAGGGTTCTGAGCGTTTGCAACATAAGGACACATGTTTCAGGAGACAGGTGTTTAGCCTGATTAAACCCCACACGATGCACAAAGAATTGGACAACAAACAGAATAAGGCTTTCCTACACAAAGATGGCATTTAGGGGAGGGGTTGTAGCTGAGTGGTAGAGCACTTGCCTTACACTGTGAGGCTTTGAGTTCGATCCTCAGCACATAAAAATAAATAGATATTGTGTCCATCAACAATTTAAAAATATTTTTTTTAAAAAATGGCATTTTACGGCTGGGGCTGAGCTCAGTGGTAGAGCGTCTGCATTGCAATGTGAGGCATCGGGTTTGATCCTCAGCACCACATAAAAATAAATAAAGGTATTTTCTAAATGATATTTTATTTATTTTTTTAAAGAGAGAGAGGGAGAGAGGGAGAATTTTTTTAATATTTATTTTTTAGTCTTCAGTGGACATAACGTCTTTATTTGAATGTGGTGCTGAGGATCGAACCCAGCGCTGCGCGCATGCCAGGCAAGCACACTACCACTTGAGCTACATCCCCAGCCCCACATTTTATTTTTTTTAATATTTATTCTTAAGTTTTAGGTGGACACAATATCTTTATTTTACATTTATGTGGTGCTGAGGATCGAACCCAGCGCCTCGTGCATGCTAGGTGAGTATTCTATCACTGAGCCACAACCCCAGCCCCCCCCAAAAAATTAGCATTTTAAAATGAAGACTATGGCTGGGCATATTGGCACACATCTGTTGTCCCAGCAACTTGGGAGGTTGAGGCAGGAGGACTACATGTTCAAAGCCAGCCTCAGCAACTTAGCGAGGCCCTAAGCAACTCAGTGAGACCCTGTCTCTTTAAATAAAAAGGGGTGGTTTGGGGCTGGGATTGTGGCTCAGCAGCACTCGCCTAGCACAGGAGGGACCTGGGTTCGATCCTTAGCACCACGTAAAAATAAAGGCATTGTGTTATGTCCATCTACATCTAAAAAATAAATTTTTTTTTTTTAAAAAGGTGGGGTGGTGATGTGGCTCAGTGGTTAAGAATCCCTGGGTTCAATCCCTGGTACCAATAAATAAATAAGTAAATAAGAATTGGAATCTCTGGAAATAAACCCACCAAAAGAACGCAAGGCCTACATGAAGAAAATGAAAACTTTTACATAAAAGGCCTGACCAGGGCTCAGGTTGTGGCTCAGAGGCAGAGCACTCGCCTAGCATGCCTGAGGCACTGGGTTGATCCTCAGCATTGTGGGAAGCCATTTCTGACACGTGATTGGGTGGCTCCCGTTAAGGGTCTGAGGCGCTCTGGCTGTGTCGGAGCTTTCCCGGCCCTTTCCTGATGAGAGAGCCCATCCGTGTGGGGGGGTGCCTGACCACTGACCCCGGGGACCCAATCACTGACCCTGACCTTGGAGTGCAGCCCCCCTCAACCTTCATTGGATGGAATTCTCCCCTGAATCTCTTGTTCCCCAATAAAAGGCTACTCCCAGGCGTGTTCAAACTCTCTCTCTCCTGCTAGCCCTGAGTAATCCTCGCTGCCCTGCTGGGCGGTTAGAGGAGGGAACCAGAGAGGTGAGCCATCTTGGACCTGGCAATAGAAATAAGGTAACTGAGTCTGTGTGTTTTATTTCGATCTCATCTAGCTAACTTTATGCCTAGAACCTCATTAATGAAACCATTGCGCAGGCCGCATGGTGGTCAGCATCAGATAAAGCAAAATAAAGACATTGTGTCCACTTACAACTAAAAAGTAAATATTTTTTAAAAAAAGGCCTGACCAATGGAAACACATGTATGAGAGACTTGAGAGGACGACTGTGGGGTCAGCGCGCATGAATACAACACATGGTTTCCACCTCAATGACCCAGCCCACTTTAGARCTCTAGCCCACACAAACACCAGCCTACATTTTCTAAATGTTCACATCCATGGTGGCACACGTCTGAAAACGTCTCAGCACTGTCCATTAGCAACAAATGAGAAAAATACTCACCAACAGGAATGAGGCAAGGTCTGAAACACTGAAGTGGAAGGAGGCCGAGAATCCCCAGGTGGAAAGCCACACCACCATCCTCGTCCTCCCCCACAGGCAGAAGCTCTTCCCTGTTTTTCCTCCACCCAGCGAGAAGCCAGTCATTACTCCACAACACTAAGGTCCTAAGGAGTCAGTCTACCCAATAGTGGTGGGAGAAGTTCTGAAGGAATAACCCAAATCTACCCATTTCATGCCAAATGCACAGAGTCACACAGCAGAGAATTTTCCTCTTTAAAAAAAAAAAATTCTTGGGTTGCGGCTGTAGCTCAGTGGTGAAGCACTTGCCTAGCATGTGAGAGGCACTGGGTTCAATCTTCAGCACCACATAAAAATAAATGACATAAGGTATTAGGTCCATCTACAATTTTAAAAAATATATTTAAAAAATAATTCCGGGCTGGGCTGTGGTTCAGTGGTAGACACTTCCCTACTAGGTGTGAGGCACTGGGTTCAATTCTCTGCACCGCATATAAATAAATGAATAAAGGTTCATCAACATTTAAAAAAAAATTTTTTTTAATTCTTCCTGGGGCTGGGGATATAGCTCAGTTGGAAGAGTGGGTTCAATCCCAGAACCACCAAAAAAAAAAAAAAAAAATTCCTTCCTGCCAAGTTGGTGGCTCATGCTACAAGGAGGCTGAGGCAGGAGGATCACAAGTTTGAGGCCAACCTGGGAAACAGAGTGGGGCCCTGTCTCAAAATAAAAAAATAAACAGGACTGGAAATATAGCTCAGTAGTACAGTGCCACTAGGTTCAATCCCCAGTATAGCAAAAAAAAAAAATCAATCCATCAATCAAATAAATAAGTAATTGTTCCTGAAATTCTGAACCATCATACATAATAAATTATTACCAACTAGTTCCCAGTAAGAAGTGCTTTGGTTTGGAGTCCAGTATATTAACTCTGCTATTGGCAAGAAGCAGTAGCAGAAAGAAAACAAGAATAATAGGCACAACTCCGCCAGCAGAGGGCATGATCTAGCAGCTCTGAGAGCCCAGGTAATSCACCCCTTTCAAAATTCAAGACAGATAAGGACTATACTTCAGTACACCCTGTGGAGCCTGGCACCAGAGCCCACACCTGTAATCCCTGCGCCGCTCACCATACGCACGAGACTGGGAGGCTGAGGCTGGAGGACTACAAGTTCAAAACCAACCTCAACAACTTAGCAAGGCCCTAAGTGACTTAGCAAGACTCTTTATCAAAATAAAACATTAAAAAGGACTAGGGGTGGTTAAATACCCCGGTTCAATCCCTGGTCCYCCTGCCAAAAAAAAAAAGATTAAAAAACCAACCAACCTGTGACAGGGCTGTAGATGTGGCTTAGTGGTACAGCACTTGCCTAGCATATACAAGGTCCTGGGTCAATCCTCAGCACAGTGGGGTAGAGGGGAATCCTGTAGCTCTGCACATGTGGAGTAAGGCCAGCATGAGGCTCCCTCCAAGGCCTTTGCTACCTCATTCCAGACAGCCTGTCACCCACCTCTCCTCCTGGACACCTTTCCCCCAAATGGCCCCATTTGCCAGAAGGCTCCACTGCCAGGTCAGGTCATATTCATGTCTCAAGCCAGCCTTCCCCACCCACAGCCTCAGGCAAGTAACAACATCCACACCCAGAGCTTCTAAACTGGCCAGCCCTTCTCAAAGTGAATTGAACATAATATGAAAGACTATTTCTAAATTCAAGGAACCATGCTCTACAAGTGATGTGATCTGTAAAACATCTGACCAGGTCCCAAGGCCAGCCTCCTCCACTGCACCCAAGAGCCACCCATCACAGGTCCTTAAGGCCAAAGAAAAATCCACCACGCTCCCACCACCAGGGAGCTTGTGCTCAGCCTGAAGGATGATTTCCCACCTGCTGACCCACAGTGGTCAGCTCACAGGACAGGACAGGCCTAAGGAGGAAGATCAGGGAGCAGGGAGGCCCATCAGCTTCACTCCCAAATAAGGCAAGGCAGAAAGGCTGGGATGAATACCCACAGACAGCAGGGCTCCTGAGACTCTGCTCCCTCCACATTCCACTCATCACTCAACAAACACTGGGTGCTTGGAACACCAGCACTAAGCAAAACAGTAAAGGATACTTGGTGCTCACCACACTCTCAAGCCAGTGGGGAAAGACACCCCAAGTCGAGTTAGCCACAGGAAGCAGGTAATGAGACATCAAAAGGAGAAAACTACCACAGAGGAACTGGGGGTACTGCAGTTTCTTAGGGAGGCTGAAGAAGGCCTTAGACAGAAGCCATCTGGGTATCGTCCTCAAGGAGGCAGGAGAGCAGAGGTGATGAGCCAGCTGAAGCAACAGAACCAACCAACTCCAGGGGTGAGAGTCAGGGACAATTCAAGGAGAACAGACCAAAACGGAAGGTGGGAGCGAATGGAAACAACTCAGGAAGTGTCTGCTGCCTTTTGTTTCTAAGATGAAAGAAAAAGGGAAGAAAAATGATGAGTGATTCAATCAAGARGAAGACAACCAGATAGAACAAAAGGCGCCAGCCCAGGAGAAAAGAGGCCCTTTCTCGTGCGGACAGGACCTTCTGTGGGATCTATCCACTGTTTCAAGAGATTAGAAATATCTGCGGAAGGCAACCTGATGGGAGAGGGCAAAAGGGAGCAAACGAAATAGGATGTTTTCAATTCAACAGACATTTCCTGACGACCTTCTGTCAAGCCCTGCTTTGGGTCTGGTGTGGGCATGTTAAACAGAAAACACGGGTCCCGTCCCGCAGCCACAGACCGACCAAAGCAACGAACAACACACCACCAAAGATGGGTTTTGAAGGATGAATAGGAGTTAGCCGCGCTGTGACTCCTAAGGGCTAACGGGAGTACCGAGCACAGCCCTTTCGGAAGGAACGGGAAATGAAAGGAAGGCGAACGACTATGAAAGACCGGCGCAGTGGGATGGGGAGCGCTCCGAGCGCCGCCCGGTCCCAGAAACCTCCCTCCCGGGGCCCGCCGCTCACCACACGCACCGGAAGCGCTGGATATTCCCCGAGGCAGTCCGACCTGCACCGCGCCGCCCAGTCGCGTTCCGCCGCGACGCCGGGGCCGCCAGCCAATCGGAGGCGGGCTCCGCCACGGCCCCCGAAGGAGCAGCCAATGACGGTGCACCGGGTCCGGAAGTTATTCCAGCCGGACTGCGTTTCCACGGACGCGCAGGAAACCACCCGTGGTTGAGCCGGTTGCGCTGACGGGCCCGGCTGGGCCGGGTGAGTGAAGGCGGGGAGATCGGGGTGTTGGAGCCGTAGGACGCGGGCGGCACCCGGAGACCTGCCCTCTGAGGCAGCCTGCGCGCCGGGTCACCTTCCTCGAAGCCCGGCCTGCGCTTCGAAGGGCGCGGAGGCGGCCGCGATCATCCCACCCTATACCCCTGGGCGCAGCCGACCCTCAAGGTCTCCCTCCCGCCCAGTCCCAGAAGGTCCCTCGTCCTTTAGTGCCTGTCGTGTCGCCTTGGTCCCCTGCACGGTAGGGTCTGGAGGCTCCTTTGTGCCCATTTCACAGACGTGGACACTGAGGGAGGAGCAGGGAAGTAACGTGACTTGCCCCAGGTTTCACTGCCAGAAGATGCCCGAGCAGGGAGTGAAACCCGGCACTCTCCCGACCTCCGCACTAAGGACTTCCCACTGCGCCGCCTCGGTGCTCAATAGCCGCAGGGAATTTACAGATGCCTAGGGTGGGGAACAGGAAGAGGGTGGGGAAGTGATATGGCCGCCAGCCCCTGCGGGGGGTGGCTGATGCAATGAGTAAAGGTATATAGAACTCTGGGTTCTCTTCAGGTTTCATCTGTCTCAGTTCCCCTCCCCCCATCACACACACCAGCAGCCAGCCCGCCCCTCATTGGACAGGCTCATCAAGGAGGTTGGTCAAGAGGCTAAAGTGTTTCTGAGAAAATGGGTGGTTTATAAGAAACTCATAAGTGTGCATAGCTGAAGGGGTGGGGTGACCAAACAGGAACGAAAAGTACCTTTTCTAAAAAGGAAACTGAAAGAAAAGATTGAAGAGTATTAAAGACCCTCTCTGTCTCAGCAGGGCATTCTCCGCTGCTGGACTGCCTGGTGTGACCGGTGGCCACCTCTGCAGTTTGTCCCACAGCCTGGGTATGTATGAACATCTTTGCTAGGTTGGGGGTTTGTTTTTCTTAGTGTTTTAACCAGCCTTGTACCAAAGTACAGGAAACCTCAGTTTAGAGGATAAGAGATTGTGTCTCTCAGGATTAGGGCATTGTGATTTTGATTTCATCCCACTGACCCAAAGTTCAGGAGGTTCCCTGCTTCCACAGAGAATAAAGATGGTGGATGAACAGTTGCTGGTTGGATTCACAGCTTGCCTTCAGCACCTTCTTGTTGGCTGCCATATGTTTTCCTGGCATGGCCTCCTTAAACAGCATCTGAGCATATTAGCATTCCTGTGATGTCCAAAGTACCTAATACCTGGTTTAAGATATTTTAATGTCTTCTTTCCTTTTAAGACAATGTTCATTTTATTATTTGGAGGAGAAAAAATAATCTTTCCTTTTTGTGTTAATGGAACTTAATCCAGAATTTGGGGTGTAAAGAACTGCTTACCCTGAGGAAGCCATTTCTTGTCCTCTGGGAACTTGGGAGTCCAAAACCATTAATAGCCACACTCTGAAGCCATCATCCCTCCTCTGTGGTATTCCAGGCATCCAGAAACTTTCTGGGTTACCTGTTCTTCCCAGCTGCTTCAGAATTGGCTGCCTTAATGCTATCCTTCCCCACACCAAAGAATTAGTATATTAGTAAATTAGTATATTAGAATTAGTATATTTTTATCTATTTCAGTACAGCCCAGGGCATTATTATTTCTGTTTCTTATCCCAATATTGTGTCCACATTCTTTATGTTCCTGTTATGCCCATCCAGAACAAAATGAGCATAAGATGAAGTTCTTAAAAAGGGGGAATTAGGTGTTTTCTCTCTGAAGGTCTGCTGTGGAAAGGCTGCTTTGCTTTTTACACTCCCAGTATTTTTGTTTAGAGGGGATAACAGTTTACTTCATGGTTGTAACTTCAGCACCTCTTTCTTCCAGATTATAGTGTTAGTTAAATAGRTGAAATAAGTAGGCTTTCCTTAACAAAAACTCAACTCTGTATTTGCAGCTTATGTGGTAAACATGTAAGGCAATGATCCTTAACTTTTCAGCATCTCAGACCCCTTTGAAAAAATAGTGAAGCCTGGATAGATACCCTGCCTAAAATCTCAAACCAGTGCATGGGAACTTTGATGTAATTTCAGAGGTTCATGAACAGTAAGCTGATAMCCTCTGAAATTAAACTTAATTATAAAAGTTAGCTAACAAAGTGTTAGACCAGGACGCAAGAAAAGACCACTGACTCCAATTAAAATCAAATTAAAGCAAGCTTATTATTTCGACCAGCCGGGCTGCCTTTCCCTCCCAAAACGGCRGGAACAAGACAGCCCTGAGGCTTCTTTGTGGCCCAGTTTTATAGCCCAAAAGTTACACAAAGGGGGGGTTACAGATAACAACACTCTGAGGAGCATAACACAAGTTTACATTTTTGCTGGCCCCGGCATCAGAATTTATGGAGATCTTAGAGACTCAGAGAGGGTCATTGTCCAGCCAGGGAAGGCCAGAATTTATGAGGCGTCACTAAGGTTTAGGAAAGGGTTGTTATCTGGTCAGGGAAAACCGGACCTGGGTGAGTTCAGGGCACGGGCAGGCATTCCAAGTAGGTTCAGAATTTGCAGTAATTTATAGTAAAGCCGAAATTATCTTTTTATGGTTTTATGGCGAGATGCCCAATTTTAAGAAAGGTTGGGTCTATCAAAAGAAATAAAGAAAGGGGTTGAGTAGGTGAGTGGGGGAGGAAGCTGCTTAAACAATAATAGGACAAATGGATGAATGCATGAAATGAGGAAGATGGTAGTTCTGTTCTCCTCATCTTTGATCATTTCTGGAAGGCTCACTCRAGAAGTTGCATCATGCTGGGTGCATGCCTGGAATCCTGGCAGCTCAGGAGGCTGAGGCAGGAGAATTGCGAGTTCAGAGCCAGTCTCAGCAATTTAGTGAGGCTATAAGCAACTTAGTGAAACCCTGTCTCTAAATAAAAATATTTTAAAAGGGGTGGAGATGTGGCTTAGTGGTTACGCACCCTGGGTTCAATCCCTAGTACCAAAAAAYAAAGAAGTTGCATAATATATAACTTCTTTGGGAGAGGATTTAAGTAATGTGGGTGACTCCCACGTGTTGAGAGCCACAGTTTAGTGGAATGACTCCTGGCATTTTGCTAGAGGGAATGGTTGAAAGGTGACCCTGCTCCAGGATTAGGGCGGAACCCACTACTTTGGAGTTCTTCTGGGGGTTCCAGGAGAATTGGCAAGCTAGGAATTGTTAAARGTACTTTTGATGTATATTTGATTTGGGTCTTACTTAAAGACTTCAGAACATTACTCCACTGCTTGTTGCTATTCATGCAGGGTACCACATTTTTGGAAGGATAGAGTTAGCCAAAGGAAAATGTAGAGAAGAGTGAGGATGGTAGACAGACATTAGTTAGTAGGTGTGGAAATCAAACTAGAGACAATAGACCCAGAGATGACTCCAGGGGACCTGCTTGGCTCTCCCCAGATCAATGTCAAGACGTTCRATAAGAGATGTTTAAAGTCCAGATGGGAGAAATCAACCTTCAACAAGACGAATTACTTGTAAAAATAATAGAAAAGAACATACCTTGAGAAAAAAGTTGAAACACATGACTTATAGGATTCATTCATTCAGTAAACAGTTAGTTTTCAGTGGACTAGTTTTCATCTTTATTTTATTTGTATGTGGTGCTGAGGATCGAACCCAGCACCCCACTTATGCCAGGCGAGCGCGCTACCGCTTGAGCCACATCCCCAGCCCTGTCTACTGAAGAAGGCATGAAGAGCTAAACTGCAGTGTACATGTTTGATGAATCTCTGAAGGGAATGCTCAGGGGTCTCAGAGAGTGGAGTGACCCACTTGGTCACAGAAACACAAGGGTCAGGAAAGCCTGCCAAAAACTGAGGTTTAAATTGGAAAGATACTGAGCAGTGACCAGGGAGAGGAGAGTAAGGCACTCTATATGGGGAGCAGCTGCAGTTCTGAGAGCCCATAGTCACCATGGCTTTGGCATCAGATCTGGCTCACCCCCTAGTGTCAGAACCTCAAAAGAGTTTTTCTGACTGTTCAAGCCTGTCTGCTAGTAGAGGGCTTGCACACTCACACCCACCTTTGAGAGTAGAAGAATTCTGGATAATGTGCAGTGTCATTTGTGGTTTTATTATTTTCATTATTGTTTGATACTGGCAAAGACCCCCTGAGAGAGCTCAAGACTGAGTAATTTGGTCAGCTTACTGATAGCCAGTGAGAACCTGAGTTTATCCTGCTCTCTGCAGTAAATGGAAGTTTCTTCCATATTCCATCTCTTGTCACAGGCCTCCTAAACTTTGTTATCWAAGTCAATTGTCTCACCTAACTTTCCTTCCTGGAAATCAAGGTGGTTCCCAGCAAGGGGAAAATATGCTGGCTACTATCTCTTCCCCCTTTCAGTATTACAGTTTCACTGACCTACTAGCTTAGATAAAATCTACACACCTTATAAACAAATATTTAATTCTTTTTATTTATATCATTTGGATACATTTTTAAATAATCACAAAAGCATGGAATATAATTTGCCTTAATTCAATCCCCAGCACATCCCCCTTCTCCTTCCCCTTGCTCCCCTCCCTCTCCTCTACTGATCTTTCTTTAATTCTTATTTTGTCCTTATAACAGCTCTTGAGGTGGTGAAAAGGTTCCTGGCAGTGCCATTTTATAGATGAGGAAACTGACACTGAGACAGGGCAAGTGACTAACCCAAGAAAGGGCTTGGGTTTTTCAAGGTTAATAGAAAATAATAATTAAGAGAAGGCACAGGTAGCTGAGTGTGGTGGCTACGCCTATAATTCTAGTTACTGAGGATGCAGAGACAAGATGTTTGAGGCCAACCTGAACAACTTGGCAAGGCCCGGTCTCAAAGTTTAAAAAAGTAAAAAAAAAGTCTGGGAATGTGGCAAGAACCCCTCTGTTTAATCACTAGTGCCACTAAATAAATAAATAAATTTTARAAGCATCTTCTTCAGAGRTTTGCAGTTAAGTAAGGCAGCATGTGGAATAGTCAAGCTATATATAGTACTCAGATCAGATAAAGCCCCTGTGTCTGAGAACACAGCATCTGACCAGCAGTGGAAGCCATTTGCTCAGAGGCAATTTGTTGGGTGTGGTGGCAAAGGCCTGAGAATTCTTTACCCATGCAATTAAGATAAAGAACAAAGCAGTTTTTAGCTCTAGTGAACTTGGGTTTTCTAAAGCACATTGGTGAATGTTCCCAGAGGAAATGCAAGCCCCTCCTTGTTCTAAGGCAACTTGGTCTTCAAGTCCTTTGCTTTATTGTTTATTCTTCCTCTTATCCTCATTTTTCTGGCCCCAAATTTGTGTTTACATTTTTATTTATGTTATCCATTTGCTTTGTTAATAACTCAAACCTTTTTTTCTGAAAGAAGATGATACAGGAAWGGAAAATCAATTGCACTCTATGAATCTCCTTCCCCACCTCCATCTCTTTTCTCCACAGTGTTGTCTCCACTGCTGGAGTCCTCTGACCCCGCTGGCCAGCTCTGAACCTCAAGCCTAAAAGATGGCAGACGGGCCCAACGGGGAGCCCTGTGCCTCTCCACTGGACCTGTTCAATAGCATAGCTGCTCAAGGCGAGCTTGTGAGGACCCTCAAAGCTGAAAAGGCATCAAAAGTAAGTGACTTTGTTGAGGGGTCCCAGGACACCCCCCCCAAAATACCAAAATCCACACATGCCWAAGTCCATTTTACAAGATCACATAGTGTTTGCATATAACCTACATACGTTTTCCCGTTACTTTCAGTCATCTCTAGGTTAATTAATACAATGTAAATTCTATATAGATAGTTGTTACAGTATTTAGGAGATAATAACAAGAAAAAAAAAAGTCTGTCCATGTTTAGTATAAGTACAGATTTTTTCTTTTTTTTTTAATTATTTTCAGTGTAAGTTTGGTTGAATCTGAGGATACAGAACCCACAGATATGGAGGACTAGCTGTACCCCAGCCCTCCCCACACTGCCTGTCTCCATTTCCTGCTGCCAGACAAATATTTACAATTCTTTTAGCTGTGCCCCGACGCCCACCACCAATCTAAACATCACACTTCTTATATTCCTCCCTGCTGATTTTCTTCCAAAGTGTTTTTTTTTTTCCCTGCAGTCCATGGACACACACTAGCAAGATCAGAGGCTACACCATGAAACAAATAAAACCATGAAAAATTCAGAAGTCATTTTGTATCAGACCTTGAAATGTGTTTATAATAGAAGCACCTAGTGTCTTAAAAATTGACTTCTAGCGAACTTTTCAAGCCACATTGAGAGTAACAGTACTCAAGGACTGTGGTGCTTCAGGTTCTTTGCCATAAAACCTGTATCAGCAACAACTCACTAAGGCAGGAATGTCCTAAGAAACAGATGAGTCAGAACCTGGGGGCTTTGAGGGGAGACAGTGGCAGGGGGTGTGTACAGTTTCAAAGGGCTAAAGAAATTACTTTGGCTCGTAAGGGGTGATAAGCCATTCCTACAGAAAAGTATGGCCATCATAAACAGGTAGCTTACTGAATTGTCACAAAATGACCACACCTGTGTCACCAGCACCCAAATCAAGAGCCAGCAGAGTAGCACCTAGAAGCCACCCTCCCTCCCTCACCTCCACCCTAATTCCTGCCACCCCTGATGGCTCTGCCTGTGCCTGACCTAAAAAATAAAGTAGGATGGTATATCGTTTTGCATCTCTTCAGAACAGCAGTGTTTACATTCTGTTTCAGTGTCCTGGTCCATGTTAGATTAAAAACAGACAATTCAGGGCTCGGATTGTGGCTTAGCGGTAGAGCGCTCGCCTCGCACAGGTGGGACCCGGGTTTGATCTTCAGCACTACATAACAGTAAAGGCATTGTGTTGTGTCCATCTATACCTAAAAAAATAAATATTAAAAAAATAAATAAAAAAACAGAAAATTCTCCATATCTATTCAGTTCCCTTCCAGGTTACAGATAGTCCTTGAGCAAGGACGTGRGTTAAATGTTTCACCTTTGTAGAGCCTTCTGTAAAGCAGAATAAGACCAGATAGAGTATGAACTGTCAACACAACCAGTGAGAAAAAGTATTGATTTCAGTGAACTTCAAAGCAAGGCAAGTCTTCCCATAGATGATTCAATAGATTAGACTTGGTAAACATTTATTTTATTGCAAACATAGAGCCTAGGCATAACAGAAGTGAAATGAGTAGAACATGCTTGCCCACCTAACCTGGACAAATATCTTCTCTCTTATATGATTCGTGTCTATGGGACTATTTTGATGAGTTTCAAAAAAGGTTATGAATTCCAAATAATGTTATGAAGCACAGATTACCCCAGAGTAATGGTCCTCTGTGGCCAAGGTGCTGTGCCTGAGAGAAGAGCTCTCTGAATGAGGTTGGCACCATGGTGGTCCTCTACTGGTAGCTCAGTTTATAGTACATTCTGTGTGAACGCTCAGTGGAAATGTTGGTATTTCCCTTGGCAGGCAAATTGGACTATGAATATTCTCTGCTTGTGATCTAATCCAACTAGGCCAATTACTGGACTAGAGCTTTAGGCATGGCATGACTAATTGGCTTAATTAGGCCTGCTCTTTTAAATACCAGGCCCCCTGGGGTGCCCAGTGTGGGCTTCTAGAAGAGAAGAGTCTTTAATAGATTTCCAAGGTACCCAAGGATACATTTTACATTGCTTTTTTAACATTCATTTTTAAACAATAAATATACAAACACGGGATAATTGCTGAGACTACAAAAGCTAGTGGAGGGCTAGGGTTGTAGCTCAGTGGCAAAGTGCTTGCCTAGTTGTGTGAGGCACTAGGTTCGTGGGTTCGATCCTCAGCACCACAAAAAAACATAAAAGGTATTCTGTCCATCTACAACTACAAAAAAAAATAGCTAGTGAAGTAACTGTTTCCCAGAGAATTCCCTGGAGTACYTCTGTCACCCTCATCCGTCTTCAGGACATGTATCTGAGTTGCTCTTCCTCTCTCTAGTGGTGTCATTGGTTACACTTCGTGAACACTCATCGCACCTGTGAGAGAAGTGAGMTGTGCCCAAGTGGGACTCTGGGAGTCAACAGCTCTGTTTCAGGGCTGTTCTCTGGCATCAGAGTGCTTAAGAAGTCAGGCTTTGTAGTGACCACAGCGTGTGCTTGACACTGCTGCTACCCTGGATGTTCTTGGCAGTGGTCCCCAGCACAAGGACAACAGAAAAGAGTGAAGTGCATTCGAGCCCATAGCTTCTTGCATGTCCAGGGGTGAGCTCCTTCACCTCTCAGACAGGAGGACAGTCACAGTGATGCCCACCTCACAGGGCTGCTGTGGGACCACACAGAGTAATGACGAGAAAGTGCTAGCCACRTGACAGATGCTCTGCAGACTCAGCCATTGGTTTATCTTTGTTTATTTGTTCTGGGRGATGAACCCAGGGATGCTTTACCACTGAGTAGCCCCAGCCCTTTTTTATTTTTATTTTGAGATAGGGTCTTTTTTTTCTTTTTGAGAGAGAGAGAGAATTTTAATATTTATTTTTTAGTGTTTTCGGCAGACACAACATCTTTGTTTGTATGTAGTGCTGAGGATCGAACSCGGGACGCACGMATGCCAGGCGAGCGCGCTACCRCTTGAGCCACATCCCCAGCCCCTTGAGATAGGGTCTTAATAAGTTCCAGGCTGGCCYGGAACTTACMATCCTTCTGCCCCAGATTGCAAGTGTGTGCCACAGYGCCTGGCCATTGTTAATATTTTTACCTTTCATCTTCATTTCTTTTCTTAGGATGAAATTGATTCTGCAGTAAAGATGTTATTATCATTGAAGATGAGCTACAAAGCTGCCATGGGCGAGGATTACAAAGCTGACTGCCCCCCTAGGAACGCAACACCTGAGAGTAATAGTGGCCCAGATGCCACAGAAGCCAGCGAGGATTTTGTGGACCCTTGGACAGTACGGACAAGCAGTGCAAAAGGCATTGACTATGACAAGCTCATTGGTACGCCCSCTGCTATCTTTCCCCAAGAATAGCCTCAGCTTTTTAGAAGTGAAWCCACTTCAGTGTTTGTGAATTTATGATATTTACAAGCATTTTGAAATTTTTATTTTTAGTTGAAATGTAATAGTTGTACATATTTATGAGATGCAGTGTGATCTTCCATATATATGTGTATATAATGTAATGATCAGATCAGATAATATCATTCTTCACCTCAGACATTTATCATTTCTTTGTGGAGATAATATTCAAAATCAAAATCTTCTGGCTATTTTGAAATATATAGTACATTATGATTAACTGTGTCCCCCTACTGTGCAAAAAACTGAACATCTCCCGCCATCCCAATGTGACTCTGTCCTCATTGACCAGCCCTCTCTAGCCTCTGGTAACCACTCTTCTACTTTGTACATCTATCTGTGTTGTTACAAATGACAGGATTCATCCTTTTTGTGGCTTAGTAGTTCCCACTGTGTGTATATCCACATTTTCTTTATCCTTTCATCTCTTTGTGGATGTACAAGTTGATTTCATATCTTGGCTGTTGCAAATAGTGCAGAAGTATACAGAAGTACAGGTATTTCTTTAACACACTTATTTATTTTCTTTGGAAATATATGATATTTTTAAATTTAAAATTAATCTTAAGTACAGTGCAGCTTTAACACCAATAAAAAATAGATCCTAGAATCCTTTGTGCATTATACTCCCAAAAGACTACTTTAAAATAAAATAACAGTATAACACTTGTTTCAAAATAATAACCTATAGTAGATAGCTTATGAGATTTTGTTCTTTTTTCTTTTTTTTTTAAGCAGTTCAGTGCTTGGGAAAGGGCTACCAAAGTGGACATCTTTGCCATCATTTAAACTGTTCTCATGTGCTGATGGAGTCAGAGGCTCCTGAAGTCTCACCTCCAGTCGTGTTGATTATGGAGCTGAAGTTAGAAAGGATGTCTCTCACAGGTGGCATGTGCCCGCTACCACACCCTTCCTCTAGGGTCTTTCTGCACATTCCATGAGAGGTCCTTGCTCTGAGATCAATCATTGTCAAAGAAGAAACAACTACCATRTTTGTTTTTATCTGAGTTAAAGCCATTCTCCGTGTTGTAAGTGCAGACCATCAATGAGGGGAAGTTCCCAGGAGGACAGCCATTAATTCAGTTCAAGGATTAAGGAATATGGAAAGTCGAAGCTGTAGATGAATATTGTACCTTGTCATCAGCTGTGTGTGTGTGTGTGTGTGTGTGTATGCACGTCTGTGCATGCACGTCTGTGCGGTTGTCATAAATTGCTAGCTAGACTGCATTCCGAATATCAGAATCCAGTCTTGGGCAAGCAGAATTTTGTTTTGAATTTGTTCCCTGTTTAGCTAATTGTGATCTCAGCTGTTGTTTCAATACTGAGGCTCTTTTCCTGTGTGTCCACCCAAAGGACTGMAGAAGAGTCCTAAAGAGGTTTGGGGTCATTGAGGTCATGCAAGAATCACTAGTATTTATTTCCCTTTCATTTCAGTGATATCTGGTCTGTAAACTTCCTCCCACCTAAGAAAGTCATCTCTCTTTTTTCCAATTTTTTTCCAGTTCAATTTGGAAGCAGTAAAATTGACAAAGAGCTGATAAACCGAATAGAGAGAGCCACCGGCCAAAGACCTCACCGCTTCCTACGCAGAGGCATCTTCTTCTCACACAGGTCAGGGGCTTTTCGACACAGGCTCTCTTGCCCTTCCTCTATTAGTTCACTAAATCGTGAGGTAACTCTTCTCTGGAACTTCCCAGTGTTGTAGGCAAAGTGACCCAGCTGTCAGGAGACTGGGGTCCATCCACCTTCTTCTGTCTTATCAGTAAATCACTATGGGGTCACATCCATCTTTTCATTCTCAGACCCTTAGTTTTCATTTCTAGACTATACACCTCATAAGATGAAGGTCAAGTTCATTGCAGATAAGATCGTGCCAGATTACATGCTGTAAGCTATGTAAACAAAAAATTCCTATGTCCAAGTACAGCCTGTSCCTGCAATAAACAGTAGGCTTCCTGAAATTATGAGCCTTCTTCCTCCTATTGTACCAGCCTGCTTGTAACTACTATCAAAAGAGAAACTAACAGAGGGTTCAAGGAATAGAGTGTTCCTGCCTCAGACCATAAATTCCAGCAGATAACATCAATAAATACGCAGTTCTGCCTTCCCATCCCACAGATTACTGGGGTTAGGATAGGCCCACTTCCARACTTTATTCACAGAATTTGTGATCAGTGGTCAGGGTGTTCTGTCCTGCTCACACTTGGTCACCAACAGAACTCAGCAACTGCCCAGGCACTTCACATTCAGCCTCCAGAGGACAGCAGGCCCTGCTCAGCCCACCTTGTGAGCAAATGTACTCTATTTTCCCTACTTGAAATTCAACTCATGTCATAAGACTCACCTTTTCAAAGCATGCAAATCAGTGGGTCTCAGCCTGTTCACAAGTGTGTAGCTTTCAAGAATGTCTAACTGCTGAACATTTCATCACCCAGAAAAAACATTCCTCCTGTGAGCAGTCACTCCCCAGTCCTCCCTGTCTCAGCTGCCAGCAGGTGCCAGTCTGCTTTCTGCCTCTGCCTTTGCAGATTGTGGGAACTTTGTGTGAACAGTGTCCTAGGACATTCACCCTTTGTTCCTTGTTCTCTTACTTTAGTGCATGTTTTCTGGGATTCTCCACATTGTGCCTATCTTTGTGCATATTCCAGCCTCTGATGGGTTGTGTCCTGACAAATGTACTTTATTTAACATAACGTTGGAAGTGTTCTGAGCCTACATAAACAAGCTCAGAACCCATGTATCAGCTAACACAAAGCCTGCTTTGTAATAAAGTGTGGAGTAGCTCCTTTAATTTATTGAATATTGAACTAAAAGTGCAAAACAGAATCGTTGTGTGGGTACATTTTTACATTATAAGTCAAGGACAGTCTCTACTTCATTCTCCCCGCCTGCCCCACCACCACCACCAAGTAGTGGGAATTRAACCCAGGGCCTCATGCATGCTAGCACTCTGCCACTGAACTACAGACCCAGCCCTCCCCACCGTTTTGGTTTTTTTAAACAGGGGCTTGCTAAGTAGCCTGGGCTGACCCAAAACTTGAGATCCTCCTGCCTCAGCCTCCCCAGTAGTACAGACATGTGCCACTCTGCCCAGCCTTCATTCCTTTTATGCCAAAATAGTGTTCCATCACATGGATGAACCCCACATTTTGTCTATCTGTTCATTAGTTGATGGACATTTCGGTTATTTTCATTGTTTGGTTATCAGTTATGCTGCCCTGGGCATTTTGATGTAAACAAGCTTTGGGGTAGACATATGCTTTAGTTCTGGGTGTGCACCTGGGAATAGAATTGGTGGCTTAGGTGATAACTGTTTATCTTTCTGGGGAACCGACAAACAGTCCCACAGTAGCAGTGATCATCTTCCACTGCAGCCACCCATGTACAGAGGTTCTGATTTCTACAGCCTTACCAGCACTTATTTCCCAAGCTTTTGTTGTGGTCTTACAGCGAGCCTAGTGGGTATAAAGCAGTATCTCACTGTGGTTTCGGGGATTGTTCCCTAATGACATCTTTTCGTGTGCTTATTGGTATTTTATTTTGTTTTGTTTATCTGTTTGTTTTTTGAGACATGGTTTCATTATGTTGCCCAGGCTGGCCTTGAACTCACAACCATCCTGCCTCCGCTCCYTCCCAAATAGCTGGGACCATAGGCATGTACTATGACATAATGGCTCTTTTATATCTTCTTTTTTAGGGGGATTGGGGGGTAACTGTGGATTGAACTCCGGGGCACTCAACCACTGAGCCACATTCCCAGCCCTATTTTGTATTTATTTAGAGACAGGGTCTCACTGAGTTGCTTAGCACCTTGCTTTTGCTGAGGCTGGCTTTGAACTCATGATCCTCCTGCTCAGCCTCCCAAGCTGCTGGGGGATTACAGACATGCGCCACCATGCCCCACTTTTGTATCTTCTTAAGAGAACAATTTAGATCCTTTGCCTACTTTTTTAACATTTCACTTTATATATATATATATATATATATATATATATATATATATATATATACACACACACACCTTTATTTTATTTATGTATTTTTATATGGTGCCGAGGATCGAAACCAGTGCCTTTTTTGTGTGAAGCAAGCACTCTAGCACTGAGCCACAGCCCCAGGCAAGGCCTACTTTTCGATTGGGTTATTTCCTTTTTAATGTTTTTGTTGTTCTGCATACTGGGGATCAAACCCAGGAGCACTTTATCACTGAGCTACATCCTCAGTCCTTTTTATTTTTTATCGAGACTGGGTCTTGCTAACTTGACCAGGCTGGCTTTGGACATAGGATCCTGCTGCCCCAGCCTCCCAAGTAGCTGAGATTACAAGGGTGCTCAACTTTTTATTGTTGAGTTACAATAATTTATTTTTATTAATTGGCACATTACATTTATGAATAAAAGTGSGATTCGTTGTAATATGTTCATACATGCATAGGGTGTGATTTTGTCAGCTGCACTCCCAGGACCTCCCCTTTGCTTTCCCCTGAGCCCCCTTCCTTTACTCTACTGATATACCTTCTGTTTTTCACAAGGTCCTTTTTTTTTATTCCTCTTTTCTCTACATATATTCTTACCAACAGAAGAATTGCAGATATGTTCTCCTGTTGTGTAGGCTGCCTTTGCACTTTTCTGGTAGTGTCCTCTGAAGTACAGAAGTTTTAATTTTGAGGAAGCCCAGTTTATTTTTTTATTTGGTTGCTTACATTTTTGGTAGCATTACAGAAACCATTGCCTAATCCACAGTCCTAAAGACTCACATCTGTGTTCTGTAGAGCTTTACAGTTCTGGCTGTTACGTTTAGGTCTCTGGCGCTTTTTGATTAGATTTTTGTGCATGTGTGTAACAGGGCTCCAGCTTCATTCCTTTCCATGTGGATAGCTAACTGTCCCAGCACCGTTTTTTGAAAAGACTATTCTTTCCTTGCTGATTTTTTTTTTCTTGACATCCGTGTTGAAAATCAACTGAACATATATTTAAGTGTTTAATTCTAGGCTCTCCACTGATCGTCGTCTTATGCTAGCACCAAAAAGCCTTGATTACTGTAACTGTGAGGTATATTTTAAAGTTAGAGAATTTGAGTGTTCCAATATGTGTGTGTGTGTGTGTGTGTGTGTGTGTGTGTGTGTGTCTATGTGTGTGTTTTACCTGGGGATTTAACCTAGGCTCACTCTACCATTGAGCTACACCACTCTCCAGCCCTCCTTTATTTTCATTTTTAGACAGGGCATTGCTGAGTTGCTAAGGCTGGCCTCAAACTTGACATTCTCCTGCCTCAGCCTCCTGAGTCTTTGGGATTACAGACATGTTCCATATGCCTGGCCCCATATAAATTTTTGGATCTGCTTTTTAATTTCTGCAAAAAAGGCAGCTGGGATTTTGATAGAGATTGCTATTAAGTATCCAATCCTGGACATGGGATATCTTTCTAGTTACKTACATTTTTTAGTGTCTTTCACTGATGCTTTGTAGTTTTCAGTGTATAACTCTTATACTACTTTGGTTAGATTATTCCTATGGATCTGGTCTTTATGCTATTATAAATAGCATTTACTTATATCATTATTGCTACTGTATAGAAATATATAGCTGATTTTTGTATGTTGATCATCTTTCTTGAAACTTCACTGAATTTGTTTATTTAATATATTTTTCTCTTTTGTGTGCATTCTGTAGGATTTTCTATTTATCAGATCATGTCACCAATGAACAAAGATAGTTCTTTACTCTTTTCCTTTTCATTTTGGATTTTTTTTTTTCTTTAGTTTTCGGCGGACACAACATCTTTGTTTGTATGTGGTGCTGAGGATGAAACCCAGGCCACACGCATGCCAGGCAAGCGCACTACCGCCTGAGCCACATCCCCAGCCCGGATATTTTTTTTTCCTTATATAATTGTTCTGACTGAAACTTCCATACAGCATTGAATAGCAGTAGGGAAAGTATATCCCTAGTCGCAGGAAAAAGGCCTTCAGTCTCACTGTTCTCCATACTGAGGATCAAACCCAGGAGCACTTTATCACTGAGCTACATCCTCAGTCCTTTTTATTCTTTATCGAGACTGGGTCTTGTAATATTAGCTGTGAGTTCTATAAATTCCCTTCCTCTTGTTAACAAACTTTCCTCTTTTTTTTTAAATTTTTTTTAGTTATACATGGAMAATATCTTTATTTTGCTTATTTATTTTTACCTGGTGCTGAGGATCAAACCCAGTGCTTCACATGTACAAGGCAAGCACTCTGCCACTGATCCACAACCCTAGCCCCAAACTTTTCTTTTATTCTTAGTCTATGGAGTGTTCATTTGAAAGGATGTTGACTGTTAGCAAATGCTTTTTCTCTTTTCTGTCAAATGGTCACAGGGACTTTGTCCTCTATTCTGTTAAAATGGTTCTTCATGTTGACGAATTTTTGTATGTTAAGTCAAACTTGCATTCCTGGAACAATTCCCACTTGATCATGGTGTATAATATTTTATGTTGCTGGATARTAAGTTTTAAAGGACTTTTATTCCCAGATATTTTGGTCTGGTATGTCTGTGTCTGTGTGTGTATCCTGGTCTGGGTTTGGTATGGGTTGAAAACTAGTCTCTCTTCAGTTTACTTGGGAGAGAGCAAAGGGTTGATGTTCATTCTTTACTGAACATTTCATAGGAATAACTAGTGAAGCCACCTGGTTCTGGGCCCAGCTTTTGGGGAGTCTCTGTTACTGGTTGAGTCTTTTACTTGTTGAAGGTCCAYTGGATTTCATTTGTTCTTGGCCCAGGTCAGCGGTCATCCCTGGGAATTGGTCTCTTCCCTCTAGGCCTCTACTTTGTTGTTGTGCCCTTGTTGRTAGTAGTCCTTCACAATCCTCTTATTTCTGTGAAGTCAGAAATAAGTCCCAGGAATTGGAGGCCGGGCACAGTGGCACATACTTGTAATCCCAGCAACTTGGGAGGCAGAGGCAGGAGGATCGCAAGTTCAAAGCCAGCCTCAGCAATTTATCGACGCACAAAGCACTAGTACCCCAGTATTTAAAAAAAAAAAAAAAAAAGAAAGAAAGAAGTTCTGGGAATTGAACTCATGGCCACTCAACCACTTAGCCTCATCCTCAGCCCTATTTTATATTTTATTTAGAAATAGGGTCTCACTGAGTTGCTTAGTGCCACACAAAGTTGCTGAGACTGGCTTTGAACTAGAGATCCTCCTGTCAGCCTTGCGAGCCCCTGAGATTACAGGCATGCACCACCATGCCTGSCTCTCCTGTCCCTTTTTGCATTCCTGCTTTGATCATTATACTCTTCTCTTCCAACCTGCCTTGGTCAGCTCAAGACTTACCAATTCATTGACCATGAGACAAAGGTTTTCATCCTAATATTTCACGGTCCTCCCTGCCCTTGTGACTTACTTTTTATTTCTCCTCAGCATACTAATCCTGCAAGCTCTTTGCTCAGGGAGCTTGCAACTTGACCTTGCTCACTCTCAGATGTGAGAGTGCCTCTACCTAATCTACCATCCGTGAAGTCGGGGTTAAAGACACGCAGCGCGCTGCCTGGGTGTCCTCACCACTGTGACAGCTATGCTTCCTCCCTTCTTTATGTCCTTAGAAGTTTAATTTGGCAAGTTGTGAGAACCCAAGAATGACTCTTTTCTTCCTTATTTCAAAAAACTAATACCCAGAGTACTCATTTTCTCCTCAGGACAGAGRCCAGCTCTTTTGACCCTTGGCCTGGGGAACAGCAGAAGCCCCTTTTAGAAACATGTTATCCAGGCTATATACCCTGACCTCTGGGAGAGGCATGTATTCCTCTTTTATTTTGGGACATTACCCACAAACCCAGAACTTTCACACATGAGTGTTGGCGGGTTTTAACATCTTTTGAACATTGCTGAACTTTGAAATCACTTTTTATATTTTAAAAATACAAAATCTCACATCCCCGCTGGTTCAGAATCTCTGAGATGGGCCCAGGCAGCCGTGACTGGAACAGCCCTGCCAGGGGTGCTGATGGACAGCCAGCAAGGGGGGTCCTCTGTGTTGTCTGTGTGCCTCCATCTCCAGGGGAGAAGGGACAGCTCCACAATGACTCACAGATGAAGACACTGCTGGCTCAGGCCTCCCAACTCTAAATGGGAACTTCACTCTGAACCCCAAGGGGGCATTCCTCCTACTCCTCCCCAAGTCGGGCCTGTGTGGAGCCCTGTTATTTTCCTGGCCTGAGTGATTCTAACAAGAATCCCATGGTATTTGTGTGGTATCTCCAAGGGAGGTGTAAAGAGTATAGAGTATAATAATCGTAGGAATTCTAGAAGAGTCCCAGGGATGCCCATTTGTGTCCCTTTTAGACCTGTTACTCCAAACCTGAATGTGTTTTCGAACAGTCATTCACAGGAGAAACCTGTTGTAAACCAGAGGTTGAGGCAGGAGGATCTCRAGTTCAAAGCCAGACGCAGCAAGAGCAAAGCGTTAAGCAAAATAAAATACAAAATAGGGCTGGGGATGTGGCTCAGTGGTTGCATGCCCCTGAATTCAATCCCCAGTACCCCAAAAAAGATATGTTCCTTTTGTTTCTATATCATAGACACCAAAATAACATCCTAGTTATTATTAATGATGTTTTGTCTCTTTATTTTTCATTTCCAAAATGTGACTAGGTGCCTTGGTATTTTTTCCTTAAAAAAAATCACATTCTTTTTCTTCCATTAGAGATATGAATCAAGTTCTCGATGCCTATGAAAATAAGAAGCCGTTTTATCTGTACACAGGCAGGGGCCCCTCTTCTGAAGCAATGCATGTAGGTCATCTCATCCCATTTATTTTCACCAAGTAAGTACTCCTCAGATGACTTCTCTCACTTTCCCAAGAACCCAGATGGACCTGCAAGCCGTCTCTAGAACTGCAGATGTGCGATTCTGCTTGCCCAGCAGCCAGGAAGTCAGGCCCTGGCACCCTTATACTGCTGAGCTCCCCTGGGCCTGCTGCACTCCTCTGCTTGCTCCCTGCTCATGCCCCCTTAGGCAGCCACAGCTCAGCCTGGGCATCCCCCATTTGCAAGATGAGAACACCAACTCTTACCTTGTAAATTATCAATAAAGTGTGGAAAAGCAGCTCAGAACCTAGCTTATGAGGCCCTCTGAGTCCACATAGTACATGGTAGTAGATTTCATCATAAGGACTAGTCAAATTAGCAGCATAAGATCATGTGGTTTCGTAGGCAGAAAGTAAGCAGAAACCACATTCTTTCTCAAGGACRACAGGCACCTGCATTCTCCCTTGTTCCCAGGTGGCTGCAGGATGTGTTCAACGTGCCYTTGGTGGTCCAGATGTCTGACGACGAGAAGTACCTATGGAAGGACCTGAGCCTGGACCAGGCCTACTCCTACACCATAGAGAACGCCAAGGACATCATTGCCTGCGGCTTTGACATCAACAAGACCTTTATCTTCTCCGACCTTGAATACATGGGGTAAGGAGAACGCCTCTGGCCGCCTCTTGTGCCTAGAATCAGACACRAAACCGGAAACATCCAAAATGGCTTAAGGCCGAGAAAATGGTTTTGGGTTTTGATTTTGGAGGGTTTTTTCCTCCTTTTGAAAAATCGTAATCTAAAGGATTAGAAATCGTGAGCATTTTAGGGACATAGCTATTGCCTTCACAATTATATTTACAAAAGGTAAAAGCCCAGTGTGGCTTGGTRGTGCCATGCCTTGCCACCTCAGCCTGTGACAGGTAGGTACTTCTGCATCATTCTTTCCTCCCAGGATGGCCAACCTTAGAGTCCTGATAGATTCCTTGTTTTTAGTGTCCCTTTTTCCTCATAGAGGAAAAACCCACTGGTTACACAGTTTCCCTCACAATCTAGTAATTTAAATCAGCCTTTAATGGGTCAACATATGTCATTCTGAAAATCCTTGGATTTGAACTTCTGAGGTCTTGGACTTTGTCCCAAATAATTGCCAAGAGATGTGTTAGAAAAATATGACTTTGATCAGCCCTCACAAGAAGAATGCTGTTTATTTCAACAAACATTTCCTGAGGGCTGGGGTGTAACTCCATGGCAGAGAGTGCTTACCTAGCATGTGTAGGGGCCCATGAGTCCTTAAAACATGGCACTCCTTGGGGAGCTGATTCTGCAAAGTGATGGTCATCTTGCTGGGGTCCCTCCTGTGCTGTCTCACTACAAGTTGCCCAGCCAATGCAGGCATGAGGGAACACCCCAGGGGCAGCAGAAACTGCCAGCACCCAGGAGCATAGCTGTTCCAATTCCCAGAATGCTCCCTTTATGTAGGTACTTGAAGCCAAGTGCAAACTTCATAGGCATAGGGATAATTCTTTTTCTGATGTCACCTGTTAGGTATTTTCTTAAATCTCATTCCTTTCTTCTGCCATGTGAGCATAGCTRCACTAGGGGATCCTTGAAAGACTGAAAATCCTTGGGACATTTATTAATTTTCGTGACAGTGTATTTCACTGCTCTCACCCAGGTCTTTAAACTGACCCAATTCAGTTGCTTGACCTTGGCACAAACAGATTTCCGTTGGCACCAACTCCTGGGCTCAGGCCATCCCCGCACCTTGGCCTCCTGAGTGCTGGGACTACAGGTGTGCTGCTGCACCTGGCCTCTTGGTCTTTGTGCAGCCTCCCCTGCCCCACTGCAGTGGTGTGGGCTGCCCTTGTCTCCCCTCTGCTTGCCCTCCCAGTTCTCCACACCAGGTGACAAGGAGCCCTGGAGCTTTTGGTCTAGCCCACAAGCTTTGATTTGGCCCTGCGTCACTGCCACCTCCAGTTAGATAGAACAGTTTGCAGTTCCACTTCTCCACTTTGGAGACCCCACCCTGCCCGTCCCCCCTTGGCCCTGGCACTCCCGGTTTGCCTAATTCCTCCAGACCTTTCCTGGATCCCCTCCCTGCAGCCAGATCTAAGTGCCCCCTCTCTTCCCCAGCACCTGGAGCTCACCTCTGCCTTGCCCATCTGGTACAGCAAGGCACCTGAATTGGGTCAGTTTAAAGACCTGGGTGACAGCAGTGAAGTACACCTTCACTAAAATTAATAAATGTCCCAAGGATTTTCTGTCCTTCGTGGATCCCCTGATGGGTGGCCCTCTCACCACTAGTGGATAAAACAGTTCCTTTACCTACACTTTCTGTAGCAGGCACCCTCCTGGCTCTGCCAAATCCCAGTATTGGCGGCAACACCTGTAGTAAGTCCATGAAGATAGCTCAGTGGCCAGATGCATGACTCCTGCCCACATGCTTCATGGGCAGTGGAAGTGAAGGTGCCTCTTTGGTAGAGTAGACTGGCTGAGGAATAAAGCTAAGAAAAAGAAAGAGAAAACGGCAAAGAAACCACAGGACACAGGAAGTAGTTTTAGAAAGCGGGATGGGATGGCTCTTCAACCTTAGGGATTGAGTTTCCACACTGCAAAGAGAGCGCAGGAGCCCACATTAGCTTAATTTATATGTGGGAATCATCAAAAGATTTCCATAGAATGCTCTTCACCAACTAAGGTAGGAGGTGAGCTGTCCAGCTTCCACCGGCAGTGGTCTCCATAGCTGAGCTCAGAGGTCATGTGTGTGGCGCCATCCTTTGAGTGGGAGGAGCCACAAATAGTTTGCAATGCCAACCTAAATCTCCTTGTCTCAAGGCCAAATGATGCTCAAATAAGCTCATATAATTCACAGGTGGCACCCTGCACATGACCAGGGCTGTGAAGAGACCACACATCACCAACCTCTTTAACACGTTCTGAATGTGGCACTTGTAGCAGCCATTTTCTGAGCCATCTTTGGTAACTAGGGTCTCAGCTCCTGGCTGAACTTCCTTTTTCTCTATAAACATGAATTAAATTTTACATAAGTGAAATGAAAATCAAACAATACATCACCCCATTTAAGAATTTCTTCCAAACACTTGAGTGTTTTACTTTTGTTTTGTGGATTTTGCTCAAAAGCGGCATCTTTGCCTAACAGAGCTGCTTCCTGGTCCTTAGGAGCTAGCAAAACCACAAAGTCAGACTTGGTCTCCTGTTGGATGTGAGGAGCACAGTGAGGCCTCTGTGAGGTGAGGAGTCCTGTGGCCCTGCCTGCAGGGGTCTTGAGGAGGCAGAGTATGAAAACTTGTATTTCAGACCCAGCTCTGTCCCTACTTGGTCTGACTCCCTGGGCAAGTCCCTAAATCTCCAGGGTCCACTTTCCTGTGAAGTTGGAGTGCATGACGATATCAAGAGGCAACACAGCAGAGGTTGCCCAGCTCTGCCAAGGTTCAAGTCCCAGCTGACACCACTGTGTGACTCATGCACCTAAGGCATGGTCTCTGCCTTTCTTGGCTCCTCTCCTTTATTCTGCAGATCATTTACTGAGCATCTCCTCTGTGTCAGGCCAGGGTGTGTGGAAAGAGGGATCAGGAGACAAAATAGCTACCCCTGTCACCTGCAGTGACAGCCAGGTGTTGGGAGGACAAGGAAGGGGTGGAGATGAGGAGAGCTGGGGATAGCAGTGCCCACTACGGGGTGTATGAGGACTGCGCACATTTTTGCACGTGAAGTGGTGAGGAGAGTGCCTGGCACCTGGTGAGCCTCAACAAATGTGTCGYCTTTTAAAACCTCGTCTAGCGCTCGACCCTATGTGTGCAAGGCTGGGTCACAGCTGCAACTCACAGGGCAGGCAGGTGTGTTCCTCCTTGCCCTTGAGAGGCCTTGATGTATGCCATTGGCTGCTGTGCTGTGTCTGTCCCTGCCTGGGCTGCTGTGGACCTCCCCTCGTGGGCACTAGGGTACCTTCTTGTGCAGCKTGACTTCATGTGGAAATCCATGATTGTCCTGGTGATTAGGTTCAGTGTCCTCCACCCCAAGGTGCAGGGAGCCTATGGCCCCTCTCCCCAGATGGCAGGTAACGCATTTTGGCAGGTGTGAGCTCTGCTGCTGCTCCCCAGGATGCCACTCCTTCAGGCTAGTTCCCGTCTTAGAAGGAAGAAAAAGTGCATATCTTTCCAGTTGGTGGAGGTTGTCAGCTCCGCTGTTGTACTGTGAGCTGGGGTGCTCCTGGTGAGTCCTTCCCAGCTCCTCTCCCACCCTGCTCAGAGCCCTGGTACTGAAAAACCAGCTGTCTGCTAAGTGGAAACCATAGAGAAAGCCCGCCTTTGGCTGCTTCACCTCACAGACCCTGGTGGTGGGCCTCTGCCTCTGTAGGCCTCACTGCCTCCACTGACCCAGCCTGGCAGCCAGTGGCCCTTCACTCAGATAGCCACCTTCCCCCTGCCCAGAGGATCCAGGAGCTCTCCATCTCATGCCAGGCATCTAAACTTTTTGAAAGCTGTGAGATGTGAAGAGAAAAGCACAGATTTGGGGGCCAGTCTCTGTTTGAGAAACAGAGGGGATGCCACTACCTCAAAAGGGCATTGGGCAGTGTCAACAAGTATCCAGGTCTTACCTGCCTTTGTCCCTTTTCTGCTACTGTGAKAGAATACCACAGACTGGTTAGTTTATAAGAAAAAGACATTTATTTCTCACAGTCTAGAGACTGGGCACTAGTATCTATGGAGAGCCTCTGTCCTTTGACACCCCATAGTTGAAGGCAGAGGGCACACAAGCTCTCGAGACAGAGCAAGGAAAGGGGTCCCTCACACGTAACAGTCTTAACCCACTAGTGAGGGCCAGCCCCCAGCTTGTCACTTCTTAAAGGTCCCAACTCATACTCCATCACAAGGGCAGTTAAACTGCAGCATAAGTTTTGGAGGGGATRCTGAGTCTGGCCTATAGCACATCTCCTGCCATGCATTCAGTGAACTCTAGACTTCACACTGTTCCCTTTCTGTCACTGCAATGCTGGACACATGTAGGGCCCAGAGAAGAGGCAGCTACTGAAGGCAGTCACAAGGCACCATGTAGGAAGCCGCTCTGCCCCCTGTGTTTGCTTGATCTTAGCCTAATTCCCTTTGGTGGTAGATTGGCTGCCTCAGGTCTAGGCCTCATAGCCACACCCTATACCATCCAGAAGAGAGAATTGTGTCAAACAGCTCTTGTGGTCCCGCCCTGTTGCTGGGGAGGGAGTCAGCCCTGCCCTTTGGGGTTGGGAAGCAGTGACCAGATGCCAGGAGACCCATCAGCACTGAGACCAACCCTCCTCCTTACTGGGCCCATCAGTCCTGTCCATATGCTCTGTCCAGCTGCAGGGAGCAGTCAGTCTTGGCAGGAAAGCTCCTAGGCCTCCCACCACTGAGCACCACCACCCCTTGAACTGCTACCTGGCAGGCTTTGGACAGCCCAAGGCAGCCCCTGCCAGCCCCTGTGCCTCTAATCTGCTGTGCTTCTTTGTTTGCATGACTCCATGCTGYTCTCCCTCTTCTGGTCAGCTCCCCAGGTAAATAAAGGTATATCTCTTCTGGCTTCTGCAGGTACCCTTGCAGGTGGCTTCTCCACAGTTTCCAGTATTCACATGTTGTCTACATACCATCCCCCATGGGGTCTGGGGCCTGGGCCTGGCCCACACCATACCTCATCAATGTCCTCTTCGCCCCTGGTGGAGCTCTCCCAGCTCAGGTCTGATTCTAACTGTCTCTGCAGGATGAGCTCAGGCTTCTACAAGAATGTGGTGAAGATTCAGAAGCACGTCACCTTCAACCAAGTGAAGGGTATTTTCGGCTTCACTGACAGTGACTGCATTGGTAAGGGCCACGCCATCTGTGGACTGCCTTTCCCCCAGTGAGATGAGCAAGGCTCAGAGGAGGAGAATGGGTGCTTTTAAAAGAATCCCAAGCAAGCCAGGTTTGGCAGCATCCCCTGTAATCCCAATGACTCCAGAGACTGGGGAGGATTTCAAGTTGTAAGCCAGCCTCAGCAACTTTGGCCCTGTCTCCAGATAAAAATAAGTCATGTGGGGGGGTGGGGGCTGGGGTTGTGGCTCAGTGGTAGAGCACTCACCTAGCATGTGCTAGGCCCTGGGGTCAATCCTCAGCACCACATAAAAATAAATAAGTAAAATAAAGGTATGGTGTCCAACTACAACTAAAAAGAAAATATTTTAAAAATAATGATAATAAGTCACGAAGCAGTGGAACCAAAGCCTGGACCGAAGTGTCTGCTCTTTAATTATCTGCTCATTGGACTTAGGCTGTCTCCAAGGTGTTAGCATTTGCAGTTTCTCTCTTTAAATAAGACACTCAGGTATAGGATTTCCCGAAAACATAAAGAGTTGGCATAGCAGTCAGCCACTTCTAGGCTACATGAAGCTGTGCCTTGGGCTGTAAGACTATCCCTCTCCTTAGTCATCCACTTTAAGAGTTAGAAGAAAGAGAGAGAGAAAAGAAAGAAAGAAAAAGATAAGGCTGCTGGGCKCAGTGGTGCAGCCTCAAATCCCAGCAGCTCAGGAGGCTGAGGCAGGAGGGTCACAAGTTCAAAGCCAGCCTTAGCAACTTAGCAAGGCCCTAGCAACTTAGTGAGACTCTGTCTCAAAATAATAAATAAAAAAGGTCTGGGGATGTGGCTCAGTGGTTAAGTGCCCCTGGGTTCAATYCCTGGAACAAAACAAAATTCTGAAACTTTTATATACCTAATTTACAATAATTGAAGACAGAGAGCAACGAGGACATGTGCAGATGTCACCAAGTGAGAAGGTCAAGGACTGGGTCTGTAAGACCAACACTATGCACAGAGGGAAACAGGAAGCATGGAGGACACGTTGGGAACAGAGTTTTCTTTCTATTTTTCTGTATTTTTCAGATGTTAGTATAATTATTATTTTTGTACTGGGGACAAAACCTACTCTTGTCTGCCCCTTAGCTGGGTTGTGGCCAGAAGAGCAGTGGGTCTCTGTGTGAAAGTGTTTCCCCTCGCTTTCAGGGAAGATCAGCTTTCCCGCCATCCAGGCCGCTCCCTCCTTCAGCAACTCATTCCCGCAGATCTTCCGAGACAAGACGGACATCCAGTGCCTCATCCCGTGTGCCATTGACCAGGTCAGAAGGCACACCCAGGTTCTGCATGTCGGGGGCCCTCCATCTTTGAGGAGCTCCGTTTGGTGTTGGAGGAGGGGAAAGCCCGCCTCTGGCAATTAGTGAAGCAATGACAGACTCCATGACGGCGCTCTGGGCTTGGTCCCTGTCTCCTCACAGGACCCCTACTTCAGGATGACGAGGGACGTGGCCCCGCGAATCGGCTATCCCAAACCAGCCCTGCTGCACTCGACCTTCTTCCCTGCCCTGCAGGGCGCGCAGACCAAGATGAGCGCCAGCGACCCCAACTCCTCCATCTTCCTCACAGACACGGCTAAGCAGATCAAGACCAAGGTGAGCAGTGGGGTGCAGGCCGTCTGGGATCAGGAGCAGGTTGGAAAGGGGACACACACTCGCCCCCCGGCAGCCGTGCCACCGCGATGCTGAACCACCTCTCCCTGTCTCYTACATGCAGGGGACAGCTGCCCCTTCCCAGAAGGGTGGTTGCCTTATGTTTGTTCCCTTCGTTTAGATTAAAATCTAAGGGCTGAAGCTGGGGTAGGGTGTAGGGTACTTGCGCAGCATGAGTGAGGCCCTGGTTCCGTGCTCAGCACACACAAAAACAAATAAAATAGAGGTATTTTGTCCA